ACACCTTGATATATGGGTGTAAACAGTTTTTCTCTTCCTGCAAGCCCATCTAGAAGTGTTGATTTTTCATATTCACACCAAATTTAGTTTTTCCACTTTTTCTATGATTGTGGACCAACATTACCAATTCATGGGCTGTGCAGTAAGAGTAAATCCAGACACCTACTTACACATCTCGAGCATCTACTTCACCCAAACTGCATTTGTCTCTAATATAAACCGCATCCATTTCTAAAATAGGCATAGCTTGGTTCACAAAGTTATGTAGGAGTTAACATAATGCATTTGAGCGTCAACATAAGTAATACTTATACAGTATATGCAGTATTATGCACCACTTTAATACAGTACAATGAGGCTGCATTTATAATGGTAATAAAAACAAGATGTAAAGAAAATGTGCTCTACTCAAAATGAATACAGGGTCAGCTATAATGGTGATCTAATTTGTTTGCTAATACAATAACGTGGACCCTTAGGGGAAAACAGTCCTTTAAGTATACAGTATTCATATTATTGAACATACTTACAACCTATAAATACTAACACTTTCTGAAATAGTGGTCATAAAAATGTTTGTGTTGCTAGCTGTAGAACCATACCCCGTTTCCCCCATAAAGTACCGAGTTTTGCATATGCAAAATGGCCATTTACGAAGACTACAAGTTTCCTAATCCTCACGGCTACCGAGGTTTTACTTTATTTACAATTCAGTAAATAAATTCACATTCATGCACATAATTGGGTTTAACTGTAAAGTTTTATATGGATAGTCTCTAGAAACTGTATCCCTTTTGGTCCGCTTCACATGCGGCCCTGTGTTTTCACGTGTGGGAGTTGTTTTAAGACTTATACTGGGAGGGTGATACTCGGGCAGCAGCCAGTCGTGCTCTGCCTGTCACTAACCTTCCCTAGAATAACACTGCCTTCTGATGACCGGGGTGACCTGAGGGAAATCACAACGGACAGATACGAGGCAGACACCTGTGTATTCAGGTCATGCGTTATTTTTTAAATTGCTCTGCGTGCTCCAGACTGAAAACACCGCTGATGTTTGTCCCTTTTTGCGTAGTTTGCGGAAGCTGTCGCCACAAGCCCTGCAAGCTGTGAACGGAGGGGTCTGGAGCTGGAGGAGATTCTGAGTGCCTTATCCAATCCTTTCTCCACACGGAAACAGTTGCCACGTACACCAGACAGTTTGAGTAAGTGTGGCGGAAAATGCAACGTTCTGCTTCAGCAACTGGTAAAGTATTGCAGAGAAGGAGCAGCAGAGTGGCTGGTCTTCATGCGCCAATGAATGCCATTTTGCTCTTCACTGACGTGAAGGAAGCCGTTTATGGAGATTTCATAGCTGAATGCCCACTGCAATACATTGTAGCTTGCAGGAAGTCAGCAGTTTTCCTCTTCCTGCAAGCCCATCCAGATGTGTTGATTTTCTAGCCGAACAATGCAAAATCACACACTATCCAAGGACTTGCTGTGAGCAACCTCTTTTCCTGTCGGTAGGGCCATTAACAGGAGAAAACTATAACTAGTCAACCTCCCGTGGGTGGTTCCAGCTGAGGGGTTTTCCCAGAGGCTGGTTGGGATTGTCAGCACTATCAGATGTGTTGATCCTCAGTGAGATTCTACCTGATGCTTTCATTATAAAATTGTCACCTTCCGTACTTAGAACCTGTTTGTTTTGTATCTTTAATTTTAAAATGACCTTTTTTTAGAATTTGTGCTGCCAGTTTCATGTCTTGGCTCACAGCACAAAACCCTTTGCTCAGAGAATAAAGGAAGTGCCCATCTTTTGGGATGTCAGCCTCCTGACACATTCCAGTCATGCACAGGAGGACTGTTACTGACCACACACAGGACACTGCTAGTCTCACTGTTTCATGAGGAGTAAAGAAATCAGTCTTAGTACAGTAGAGTCCCGATTATCTGACCTAAATGGGACCAATCGTATGTTGGATAATGTGGAAACTGAGCAGACAAATCATAGATTAATGGAAGTGCAGTATAAGTATGAAATCTGGTTTATTAATCTACTGTAAATCAGCTTTCTCTTGAAGTATCGGACCTGTGATAGACATGTCCTTATCCCTTTGCTGCGTGAACCAGAAGAAAGGTTCACTGACCTTTTCATATTCATATTTCTTTGTTTTTCTGTCCCTCAGTCCTTCAATTAAGGCCCAATCAGAGCATCACTTTTCTATCTCATTTCTTTTCCTCTTTGTCACCAACTGTAACTTGTCCCACACCTAATTCATATGCAGTTTTCTGCATGGACTCAGCTTTGTCTAGTCTTTTTATTGCTTCAAGCTTTCTTTCCATTGAAAGAACTACTTTCTTTGTCTTTGCACTTGTCGTGTTTCTCAAATAAAATTGTATACACAACCGCAAAGAAGCGAAGCTGCGTCAATGGCAGTATTTGATGCAATGAGAGACAAAACAGTATGGTCTTGGGCGAAATATGCATGTTCAGACATACAGTACATAGCATATATCTATATAACATGTTGATTGCTATGTCAGATAAAACAATATTGGTTAATCAAAGGTCAGATCATCGAGACTGTATTAAGATATTGTGCATTGGTATAAAGCAAATCTTAAACCTATAAATGTTCTCAAAGCATTTCATATTTGTAAAACAGGAACACCTTCTTACCCCACATGTATACTGTGCAGATGTATTCCATTACTCCTTAATATATGGCATGCAGATTAGTTTAAAACTACATTATTTTAAACATTAATCTCAAGTTCTGAAAAAGGATCCTGAAAAGGATTGAGCTACCCAAACTGCCTGAATGGACACAAATGGGGAGTTAAGTCCATGCTTGACTAAGCTTGGTCTTCACACAAAGCTACAGTTGTATGCAAATGTGTAAAGTTCACAGTTTAATCAGGATGGTAGCTAATAATAAGGCAGGGCTTGAGAGAAAGGTCTTTCACTTAACATTTCCATTCTTAATGTATTTTTATTTTGACACTAAGGTCATCTTTAGCATTATTCAGTAGGGAGAGTTTTTGTGGCATTCATACGCTTTTTAATTATCACACTCATTTGTCAAATAACCCTGCAACCATTTTAAGGGTTTTTTGTATAACAAGTTATCATACAAACTTGAAGATTTGATTGGGTAACTGTTTCAATAATATATTTCTTATAAATTATTATTAATAATGTTGTTGTTGTTCAGTTTGTTTCAGTTGCTTTCAATTAGCTGATATGTTGACATTTGGAAGTGCATCAGACTGGGATCTTTACAACAGTGATCATTTTTTTTCATGCAATTCCTTTTTAGTTTCAGATGTAAAATCCTCATGGAGACGTGCAGTTGAGGAAGGAGAGGCAGAAAAGGCAAGATTATCTGAAAAATTTGCAGAAGTAGATGTAAAGCCTGTTCTCGCGTTGCCTGTTGACGAGGAGCCTGCTCCAAGACCTGAAGAGCCTTTCCAAAACAGTTACCCAGTGCAGGTCAACGGGGGTCCATCAGAAAACGCTGGGGCTGAGCACTTAAGTGGCCTTTTGATGATGGAAGAGAAAGATTCGCTCCACTCCACCATCTCCTGGAAGTCCATGCAACCGACAGATGGCCAGGACAGCAGTGACATTATTCAGTTTGGGATTGCTCATGAGACCATGCCCGAGATCCTTGACATTGAAAGTTTCCAGAGCTCTATTGATTTTGAGTCTGAAGACCAGACTTTCGATTCCAGCAATATTGAGGACGATGAAGCTGAGGAACTTGTCCTTCCTGGTCTTGTGTCGGATATTCAGGAGCCCCTGGTGGACCTACACGATATACGCAGCCGCTTTGAAAAAATCAGACAGGCATGCAAAGAGGCGTCATTCACAGGCTCGGAGAAGGGTGAAGGGGAGCCGGTGTCCTCGTGGTCCACTGGGGGGGACTCCAACCCTGGGGACAAAGAGACTGACAGGGTTTTCTCTCTGGATTTGGACTCCCTGGAAAGTCCAACACCCAGGAGCAAAGACAAGCAGTGGAGCCTTCCCAAGCTCATCACTTTCTCCCCCCTGGATGAACTTTAAAAGTACCCTGAGAGGGAGAATTGCTTAGTTCTTGAGTCAAAACTCTACATTCAGTTTGTAGAAAAGGCTTTGCTAATAAAATATTTCTGTGTTGGAGGAAAAACGAAGAGCAGCTTTTAAAGTAAACTGATGCATTGCAGTCCCTTCCTTTTCCAGATGACATCATTTAATGATGCACCTTTTTCACTCATCACTTTTATGCAAGTCTTACAGAATTAACAATCAATATTTTGAAACATCTTATTTCTGGTGAAGGAGCTTGTCTTCTGTTTTTAAAGCACAATATGTGCTGCAAGAAAACATGCATACAGCTCTCAGTCTTAAATATGTATTTGGTGTTCACCCTTTCATATGTGACTGAAGTTATATGAACTGTTCATCTGTCTGTAAAATGTAGTAAGGACTTGTGTATAATGTTTTTTAAATGTAAATGTTCTTTGAAGTGAATTTAACTACTCTTCTAAATTTATGACCAGGGCTCACAATAGGCAGTCTGATTCCCACATGCTTTTCAATGTTCACTTTTTAATGTATGTATGTAGTAAATGTTTACAGTGTTTTTATGTTCTATAACGATCATACATTTCCAATCATGTGGTCCATGTAAAAGAGCTGTAGTTCTGTTTACAACAGTCACTCCATGCTGTTTATCTCCACATGTACAGCATGCTATACACAAACTCAATTTTGGTAGTGTATCCGATGGTATTTAGTACTGTGGAAAAGAACGTGGTGTTGAAACAGCCCACTGTGAAAGGGCAAAGGCAGTACATCCCTTGATTAATAAAAAGTGATTCACCCATTGATTATCAGATAGGTGTGTGTTCCTGTTAAGGGTCATGGTAACCTGGAGCATATGCTGGGAAACACAGGAAGCAAAATGGGACTCCACCCTGGATGGGATGCCAAGGCACACTGAATTTAGAGCTGAATTACCCTAGCCAGTATTTCTTAGGGAGATGGGAGGAAAAGAAGACCTGCAAAGTACACAAAAGGCATCAGAGTTGTGAAGCAGTAGTGATAAAAGCCATACTAAAAACTGGTGTAATGCAAAAAAAACATACCAAGGAATTTATTAGGATAACAATTATACCATATGTTTGTATCTGCCCATTTCTAAATATGAACATGCATATTGAAACTGATGAGGTTTATTTTAAGTCTTAATTTATTGATGGCCCTGTTATCATGAACTGTATCATTACTGTAAAAGCATAAGTGCTTGGGCACATGAGGATGTTTCTGTTTGTGATTAATCAAAGGTTTCACAAATTCCACAGGTGGACTGTCTCAGGTTAATTTTAGAAAAGTAGTTTTGCGACTACTGCCTGTCAGTCTGTCGATCTACCCAAAGAGTTATACAGAATTGGAGTGGTGCCACACAAAATGACCACAAGAGGGAGCTGGAGTGTGGGAATGCAGTTATTTTCCTCTGATGGGTGTGGGCAGTTGCAGGAGGCAAAAGGAAGCGTTACAAGTTGGGCTGTGTAAAGGCATTTCAAAAGCGAACTTTTTTAATCCAGTCTCCTGCAGTCATAATTTGTTTAGAAACAACAGGTCCACTTTGATGGGTGAACCAATTAGTGATAGGCCTGAAGGGTGCACAAAAAGGAGGAAGTGGCTCTGTGCTTCCTGATGAATGTCTGGTCAATATTACATTCATTATTATTCATGCTGAAAAGAAAACTGCTAACAGGAATAATTGCTGTTGCATTTTGAAAGCCGATTAGTAGTGGTATATTTTCAATATCTGCTATTTGGAAATATGAGTTTTGTTTCAGACAATTGTCTTGTGCATATTAAATTAGTAGAGAACTTTATCTGTTAAATGCACAGATAATTCTAGAATTTAAATCTGCTTTTTGACATGATTATTGGGATGCTTCCCAGGGCCCTGCTCCCTTTTGAAAAGATCACTTGAAGAGGTGTAGTCTATGCTGGACAACTGAGACTGAGAGGTGGTAGTGAGAACTGCATATGTGCTTTGCAGATAGTGACTGGTGACTTAAGAAATAAGGTGATGCCCTTAAATGACCTTTTCCCTTTAAAATATCATTGCATGCTTTTAAATTGCCAAAACTGATCTCGGGGGGGAGGAAAAGAAAGCTGTTTTGATGAGTAGGCAAATTTCTCCAAACGCTCATCCTCAGAATTCCTGGGGGAGGTGGGTTATAGGCAGCATAAGTACCTGAGGGTAATGCCCCAGTATGATGATAGGGATGCTGTACTGTAAGAGGCGCCGTCTCGTCTTTAAATCTGGTCATTAAAGATCCTGTGGCACTATTCAGAACATCTGAAGCGTTAACCCCTGTCTGCTGGCTAAATTCCATTCTGGGCTTACCCAATCTGGCCTTTCTAAATTGCTCTCTTTATACATTATGCAAGTAACTGACAGAGTATATGCCTGAGATCAGAATCTTTAAAAGCCTTTTAGTTGTGCTTAAATCTGTAAAACTGTTTAGCTTTCCTTTCTAATCTAAGATCAGATTGTTTTCTAAAAAAGGTAGGACAGTGTGGAAAACATCCTATTGTGTACATGGGGTTTTAAACTCTTAAACTGGAGTTTTCTGGTACGTACAATATATTGCTCATTATTAAGTTTGTAATGTTTTCCCGTCAATTTTTATCTACACCGGTTTTACCTCAGTTTTGTCTGCGAAACTGGGATTAAAAGATATTTGTATTGGATCCTAAAGACCAGGTATGGGCTGAGTGTCATTACTGATCTTCAAAGTGTTACTCTCCCATATGTTTTGGTTATGATCAGCACAGAATTCATGGTCACACACAAGAACCTGACTTCATAAACATGGGAGCATGTAGTGTATGAACACCTAGACTTTAACATGGTGCTCCATAACATGAGCCTGACTAAAGGGATGAGATTAAGGATTTTATATAGTAACTATCAAAACAGCCATTGTTGTCCTTAACTGCACTTTGCTTTCCAATACTATCCTGGTCTTAAAAACAGGTATGGAGTCCATCACTTCTTCTGAAAATGTATTAAAAGAGGATTGATGTTTGATCAATACTAACTACAGTACAATTAATAACTACAAACAATTGCTTTGAACTTTTTTTAATCGCCATTAAAACTTAGTATCTCTGTATGTACAGCAAGTTGACAGTGTGGTGTATAGTGTGGTGCTGGCCACTTTATTTTACATCAATAATGAAATCCTTTATTTTACATCAATTTTCTTACAGGACTTTGTGTTTGACAACATCAGGAAATTAAAATATTGACATACCATAGCCGTAACTAGAAAAGACCATTTCACATCTTGGGTATTAAGGTCAGTACATAGAATGAATTCTAGCATTAGCCCAGATTATTCTTGTAACGTGCCGGAAGTACAAATATTCATATTGGGATAATGAAATTTAAAATAGTCTACATCATGGCCACATCAAGCCACAATATTTCCAAACCAGCCAAGGTAAAAAGAATGTCAAATAGTAGTCATATTAGTTAATCAGGAAAAACTCAGATTTGACCTTTATATGAATGTGATCTACAGTACCAGCACATGTAAATAAAACATAATTCAGGGTAGCTTGGTTCCTTTCGTTAATTAAAACATGTTCTTGGCATTATAGAATCATTAAAAGGAACAACATTATGATTGCCAGGATAGGCTCTGGTTTCCCTGAGACTGAATTGGATGAAGGAGTTAGAAAATGGATGGAACCACATTACAAATCAAACTGTTGTTGTTGAACTCCAGACTTCAGCTTTCTACAGCAACAGTGCCATCAGGATCCAGCTGTAGACTGGGAGGTTTCAGAACTGGATCAGACTCCGGATCGGACAGTGGTTTTTCAATGTCATTGCTAATCTTTCAGGAAATGATTGTAGGGCATCACAAAATCAATATACAATTAGCAACCAAATGACCAAGCTTAGTGCCTTTTTTTAACTCCAACACAGGTAATTCCTGCTCTTAAAATATTTTACAGGTGACATAAACAATAGAGACTTTGAGGGCAGCTGATTCTATTTTCGGAAATGCACTAAGTCAGATGGGCCAAATGGCTTTCTTGTCATTTGTAAGCTTTCTTGTGTTTTTATCTTATCAATGTTTCAATCTCAGAACAAGCAGAGGTTAAGGCTACTCAGCAGAAAATCTGCTTTTCTACTTTCTTATTTCATATTTCTGCATGCTGACACAGCACCCCCGTCAAACCATATATCTAACTTGTCTGCTATGTAGAAAAGGTTTAGTTTGCCATTACCACGTATGTGCATTATGTTTTATGGGTTTGTGAAAAATGGATATTACTACAATTAAGTTATCAATGTACAATTTACTGGAAAACCGTGTTTTAATGTAGAATATATTACTGGGTACTTCTAGACACCTCACTGTTGATTTGTATACGGATACGTATCCAAGCCACTGCCTTGGCAGTCATAGGCTTCCTGCACAGATTCCAATAGTACATAACTGCAGAAAGGTCTCCGGAGTTTCCTCCCTTGAAGGGAATCGATTCTGTGATTGCAATATAACCTGTATTACCACCCTTCGGCTTCTGCGTGAACCAGTGCTTCTCCGCCGACAGCCTTGACAGCATATGCACTCCCAATCCACATTGTGTTGTACGATTCTGAGCCCATCTTTGTTAGTACGTTGTTCACTCTTTGACAGTAACCGGGGTAACAATCTTTACTTCTCCCTTGTGCTAATCATTCTAGCAGGCCTACTTTGATACGATTGACACTGTAATACCCAATATATACACGTAATTCAATAAATGTGTAAGGCGTCCAATGTAATGTATTACATTCACGCATTCAAGCGTCGCAGGAACTCCCTATCTATTGGTGGGAAGTGTCTAACTTAAAATCATTTAAATTAATTTGCACTAAGGAGAATATTAAGCCGATAAAATCTTGTTAAAAAATGGAGACATCAAGCGATTATACACTACTGTGTTTATTTGTGGTAGAAGGGAACAATGCTTTTTATCATTTCTCGAGTATTTATACTGTAACGCAACGGGGGCTCAGGCGGGCGCCCTTGCCGCATCTGGTCGGCCCCATCCCGACTGGAGGCTCGAACCCGGGACTTCCGCGTCTCTCTGCAGCGACCTAGCCCCGTGAGCTAAAGAGAGATCTCTCCACAGCCCAGTAGCTGTGGTCCTGCTATCACAGGGAAGGGCGGTGACGTACCCGCTCTGGTACGCCGGCTCTTACACACACTGCTTGTCGGCCGTAAGCGTTACAATACCTATTTCAAGGTGTAGTCGCGGTTAAATCTTAGTATCAGTGAACATGGTCCCTTCAAGTGGTATGGGTAATACATTGCTGCGGTTAAGAACAAACATTGACGTCAGGAACATTCAGAAATAGAACGACCCACTGAACGTTTTTACGTTGTAACGTCTTAGTGTAGGAGTACACTTCTATTAGTTATCATGTAGCCCAGGCTGTGCAATTTGATCGTTGATTCTTATTCAATTACGTCATGTATAATTTATAAAATGGCAATATCCCGGAAAAATGTGTTTTTAGAAACAAATGACAAAATAGACGATATCGATGCCTGTACATCTGAAATTAGAGACTTCAGGTTCAGAAATCAGAGCCTCCATCGGCCGTATTCGTTACATTATTATTCATGACTTAATGTCAGGAACTTGTTCACTGTGCCTGACGTACAGTGAACTACTGGTACGTTAAATGCAGCCGGTTGGGTACTTTCTTCTGACAGAGACCGAAAAAAACTGGAATTCCTGAGGTTTCTACTTCACAGACTCTTTTGAAGTACGTCATTAAGCTGCAAAGTCCGAGCGAAGACGCTTGGATTTCATTACTGAAGAAATAAAGTGCATATTAAGTAGCATTTCAGCCAAACTATTTCAGAAGACCATTATTTTAGACTTACTTCGCCCTCTGTATTTGAAAGGAGTGAAACGAATCTGCAGTTTTTCACCTGTTGCAGAGGTTAAATTCACCGCTCTGGCAGAACTAAGACAGAGGGCACTGCTAACCTGACGAAAGACAGCCGGAAAGCGTGTTTCTCGCAGCTCTTTGAGCGCCAGTCACTGTAGTCTGGGCGGTTCCATTCCGCCTCTAGCTGCAGCCTCTGCAAAGCTCAAGAGCTCACAAAAGTAACAAAAACACAAACATGGCGCCCGCTTGCACAGACAGCAACAGCTAAGACTAGCGCAAACAAGTTGGAAACAAAGTTTCCATTCGTCCCCGGAGGTTGTACTTTTTAAATGGTTCCAGCGGAGGTTTTCTGATCTTACTACAAGGACGGAATATCTCTCGGGCGTTGAAAAGCTTTAAGCTGCCTTCATGTCAAAATTCTTTCTACAGGGGTAAAAAACAGCTGGTAAGTGTGGCTTCTTGTTGGATCGACCTCGGAGTTTAATTTGTGGCTATGAATGTGCCGTCTCTGCTTTTTATTTGTCGAAAAGTAAAATCATCCTTCTTTTTTGGAGAGTCGCGGAAGTTTGTATCATGGTCCGATCGTGACAACTTGGCTTTATCATTTTAAAGTTCTTATGTCACCACCACCGGTTAGCTGTGTCTGTTTGCAACTAAAATTTTCAAAAAGGTCCGCCGGTGCATCGGATATCATATAAAACGTAATAACTGTGACAGAGTGCATCATCAGTGTTACACGTAAATTATGTGGTGGCGTTGTTGCATGGCACGGGTCTCTGCTCAGAGATGCAGTCATTCCTTCCCTCTGGTTACTTAGGCCCGGATCAGTACGAAGTGGGAGTAGTCTTTCCTCGCTGCTGAATCCATACTGTGCAGGTGTTTAGGGTGTGGCAACATACAGGTATCTGTTAAAATCAACACAATAGTTGATTAAACCCGCCTTCCTGTGAAAGGGGGTGTTGTGAAGAAACGTTAAACATTAAATGAATGCGTGCGTGGCCACATCAGTACGTTTAACCCCTTATTTCCCTTGATGTTTTAAGTATTGTTGTGTCTCAAATGTTTTCATTTTTTTTATTTGGTACACACCATTACATTGTACAGGCAAGCATTCTGTTAATAGAAAAACAATGCCAAGTCCTGTAATGGTATCGCATACATGTACAAAAAAAGTAGTTTATCTTTCATTCTGAACATTTCTGGTTCATCATTATTTTTAACGTCAATGTCTTGCGTTGAATGTGTCTACTACTGAACAGTGGAGAAAAAAATGAAAATTGCGTCCTGTGCTTCACAGCCATATTTACATAACACTCTCGTACGTGCTTCTTTATCTTGATAAGTTTTAAGTCGATTTCTGTCTGTATTTTCAAACACTGTTTCCCTTTTTAATTCGCAGTTTGCTTTTCGGCCTCTAATGTGTCATTTACCCGCAAAGGTCACAGGTATTGCAGGACGACGCGACTATTTTCGTCGTTGTTTTTGTCTGGGGGACGGAATGGTCAGGAATGATCGGTACTAGAAGGGACTTTCTATTCCGTGTCATTTAAATGCAGTGCTGGAATGAGCACTGCGTAGCATGGTTTTGTACAGCCGTTCGTGATGCAGACGCATTGAGAATGATGCGTCCATTCATCTTAGCTGCTTCCTACAGAGCTTGTCAGTGTCTTTCCCAGGCACAATCTGCTGCAAATTTGTGTAAATGGGAGCTTTGCTAAATTGAGGGTTGACTGTCAACAGTTCTGGCCTGGCAGAGATGTTTGCTGAGTAAATACTAAAAACTCCACGTCTTGAGTATCATATGTAATGCGCAACCATGGTTCTCTCTGTAGTTCCAGAATTTCCCTTTTTCCACCACCACACAGCTGACACAAGACTTTCATGAATTTCCCTGTGTCATCTACATTTTCTGTTTATTCCATTTCGTTGTGGCTGCCCAGTCACAGTCAGGAGCTTTTTTTTCTGAGCTGGCCTGCTTCTGTTCTTGAATTAGTTAATTTGACAAAGATTTGAGATGCTCTGAAGTGCTGAGCTTCAACATGGACACAACAGCATTGACTGGTAATCCGCCCTTCTTCTCCAGCTTTAACAAGTCTTTTTGAGGTGTTAATGACCCGTCCATTTAGAGGAGAAAACAAACAGGAGCATAAACAATAGAATATACCCGGCATAAAAAAAAAGAACAAAAGTAGCTTTCATCTACTCTTTCTGTGTATTGCTTTGTTACAGATGTGAAAATTAAAAAGCAGTATTAAGATGGTGATATTCATGAAGTCTTTTGTGCAGTAAATAATGGTAAGTGACAGAGGTCTGTGAGAAATAGTCAGGATTTGTATGTATAACAGAAGTGTGAAAACTGCCCATGGTTCTTTGATGTTAACTAGTTTGTTATTCTTATGTACAGTATACTTTGAGGTGCTATTTCTTAGCACTGGATAAGATATGACCTGGGCACTTGTGAAACCACTATTTTTAGCTTAGCCTATGGAGATCCTGATTTTTGGAGAAGTTTCTGGGATTTTTTATTTTCATTTCTGCAATAAAATTGAGGTAAAAAACTATTGATAGATAAGGAACAAGTAATAGGTTTATTCCATGCTGAAAAAAAGAAGATAGAGAACACAACGTTTCAGCCGTGGAGCCTTCTTCAGGTGTGGACCTGAACCCACCTGAACTATTGATAGATAAGTCTGTACGGTCGTTTTTCTATGTTTAAGTCTTAAGCCACGAGAAGACTTTTGTCCAAGCAAAGAGCATTACCTCAACCATGTTTTTTGACTCACTGACTCCTTGCGATTCATAATCAATCTAATGCTTGAAATGCTGTACACATTTACTGTTGCATGTGTCAATTTATGTACGGTGCTAACACACAGTCTTCTGCACTTTCACCGATATTACTGTGATAATTGTCTACCATTTCCTGAAGTTCATCCACATTTTTTAACTGAAAACAAAGTTCATAAGCAACAAACAGAAATAAAAAAATTGCTGCAGCCTCAGATATATCTAGTTCTTATAAGTGTATTAAGTGGCTTTGGGCACAGGAAACCCGCCTGCTGAATTTACATGATGAGATGTTGCTTTGTGTCCTTTAGCATGGGTGTGACTATTGAATAGTAGGCCTCATCATAATAAATCCTTATTAACAGAGGGCCTTTCAATCCAAAGGAATTTTCAAGTTAGAAATTTTCAGAACTTTTGAGAAAAGTCCCAAACAAACTAAAAGACAACTATAAGTAAAATTAAACTGGAATAGAAATATGCAGAATAAAAAAAAAAATCAAAGTATTCTTTGAAGATTATATTCATTGCATCAACGATATACAATTTTAGCAAAAGGTTCCAGCCCTGCATTAGTGTCTCTTCTAAAAGCTCCTAGATCACTGCCTCTTCCATGCTGTAGCTGACAGTAATGTGCTTAGCTGCAGGGCTTCCATGCCACAGCCTGGTTTGCATCAGCACAGACAGAATCCAGTAGATTAGAGGCAAAAAGAAAGTTTAGTGGCACAGAAGACTGTTTCTGACAAAATATGCATTTTACAGACTGTATTGTTGACAACCATGGCATGGGTACATTTCTTAAGATTTTATTTTTTTGGAAGGACTGAACTGCTTCAATGCGCAGTCTAATGTGATCTGTGGAGTCTGTAGCTAAAAGATACCGAATACATCACCTACATATTACTCCTATTTCTTTATACACATTCTGAGTTTTTATTCTTCTTAGTTTTCGGGTGTACAGTCTTATCACGTTGATGGAGGGGAAAATAACTTGTGAAGAGTGGGTAATTGGAAATGATGTAAGTGAAGATCACCTATGTTGTAAATGTCTTGACTGCGTGGTGTGGCTGTCTCCAAATGTGTCCCTCGTCCCCACAGATGGCTTTCTGGTCACTTGCTGGACCAGTACGATAACCTGGTAAACTGCTTTTCCAGACTTCATGCTTTTTTTTAGCCCAGTTCCAGTCTATAATCTACCTCCACAAAGTGCCACAAAATGTGCATACCCCAGCCTGTTACTGTAGGGGACAACAGAAAACAATCACTGGGTTTTTGCACAACTCCACCTAAACTTCTTGGGAAGAGAACCAGTCCTGCTGGTGGCTGGGTGAAGGCTGGAGCCCTTGCAAAGGAAGGGTGCAATTCAAAACAGTCTGTTTCATCATTGGACTTGTGCAATATGAATTACTTGAGCTGTACATTTCTTGGCCATGCATGCATGTTATGGAAGATCTAACAAGAGAGTGAACTAGTCCTTCAATGCTTTCATTGCAGTCCGCATGTGCAATTTAAATCTAAGAGATCTTTTAGTTACTTTAGTACAACTATGTAGCACACAGTCATTTCAGATGACATTAATGTGTTTGTGTGATACTCCAAGGGGTGTATTTGTGAATTTGCCACAGCTGATAAGTTAAATTCTCTTTCAGTGCATTTATCTATGATATATCAAAGCTATGGCACCCTTTTACGGCTTTGTAGCAAATGTTGTTAATGATCATGGCAGCATTTTCAATTGATTTTTAAAGAAGTGTGATGTGTTTTGCTTTGAGGGTGAAATCTGACATGTGGCAGACATTGTTGAATTTGACAAGCTTCACCTTGCAGCCAGTGTGTGTGTGTGTCAGTGTGTAAGTGAGAAAGCAGCCTTCCTTCCTATTATAGCAAGTTGTTATAGGTCTAGGTCAATTGTGTAGCCTCAGAGGATCTATAAAAACACTGACCTTGAGAGTGGGTACAGCCAATGGAGGTGAGAGATTAGGTCAGCTGATGGCAAAATCAGGAAGTCTGACAACTCAGACACGGCAGCTGGCTGGGTAAAAACTCAGTGAATTCAACTGCCAGCCAGAGCTGAGGGGGAAATGAGCAGCAGGTTGATTTTGAAGAGGTGAATGCCTGACTAACTGGCAGAGGAGCAGTGTTTTAGGAAAGTAAGAGAAAACATTTTGGGGGATTATTTTCCATGGGATTTGAAAATAAAGGTGTATGTAGAAATGGTATTATAGATATTTGGATTAGCCTGTTCTGCGTTTATTTGTATCTAATCTTATACAGTTGCGTTTTTTATTGAGCATGTGGCAGTATGAGCAGTGTTGCGTTCTGAGACCGTTCAAGTGTTATTGGGGAGAATTCAGCTTTTTGATTGCACTTGCTTTGCTTGCCTGTTTCTGCACTATACATAGCTTCTTGCTGCAGTGTAAGATTTCATGATAGTCAATTTACATCTGAAGTGAAGAATTGTGAAGGAAGACATTAGCAAGAACATAGTTTGGAAACGAGGGGAGGTCATTCAGCCCTGACTAGCTCATTTGTGTGCAGTTTAACCAGTTAAGTCAATTGAGAATTAATCTGCCACAACCACCTAGCCAGTACCTACAGTATTTATGCAACAAGTATACATTATTATAGTATTTATAACTCAAGGTTACAGCAGCAATGCCC